TTAAAAATTATATATTCACTGTATCTTTAATCATGCCATGCATGGCACTTAGGATCTGAAGTTTGAGTACTAAGAGAATCCTCTTTTCCTTGTTATTTTTTTTTTAACTAACATGAATATGAATATCAATATGATTTGTAGAGTTAAAGGAGAAAAAAAGATCAATTTTATTTTTCACCTTGTATGCTTCATAATCTCTTCTTAATGTGTGACTGACTTAATAATTTGTGAATATTTTGTAAATTGACTCATTTCTCCACACCCCACCTTCTTCTAGAAAAGTTTTTAGGCAGTTTATGAAACTGTTACAAAATAGTTTGAAGAATGTCTTTCACTGTGCAGCAGCATGGCATTCGTGATCGCCACAGTCACCACACAGGTGTGTGGAGTAGGTCTCATCTGGGTCCTTATCAGTCGCACTAGAGTAACTCCATAGTATATTGCACACTGTCCCATTCCATGCTTCACATTTGATGTGTTTCATCAGAAAATATAGGAAGGCAAATAGGAGTCATCTCCTAGAAATTATTCATCTCTTAATACATTGGTGCTTATTATCAGTATACTATACATATGGCATAGAAATTGAGTATATTTTGCATATATAGAGAAAAATAAAGTTCTAATAAATTTTTTGTTGCATTTAACATTATATTGTGACCATTTCCCTATCAAATAATATTCTTAAACAATTTCTTCAAGCATATGAAAAATTCTCTATCTTCTGTGATATTTAGTTTTATCTTTAGATTATTAAGTTCCAAGATGGGTGTGGCGATATAGTACTGTAACCCCAGCGCTCACGAGGCTGAGGCAGGAGGATCCCTGTGAGTTCTAGGCCAGCCTGGGCTACATAGAGAGTTCAAGGCTAGCCTGAACTGCATAGCAAGACTCTGTCTCGGAGGTAGGGGGTTATATATGTGTGTGTGTGTGTGTGTGTGTGTATTTTATATGTATATATATGTGTATTTCCAACATTTCACTATTAAAAACTGTACTGTAGTGAATATTATGGCCTAGTTTTTATATGTATGTAGATATTTTCAATTTAGGGAATTTCTGTCTGTATTTCTGTCTATGTATATGTAGCAAGTATAAAGTTACAAGGTTGGAAGTTGAAAAAATGATAGTTTCTGTATTTTTTTGTCCAGTGTTAGCTAATGATGAAATCAGAATTTAAAGCCAAGTAGTGTAGCTTTAGAATTCATGCTGTCACCATAGCCTTTAAACATGCGTAATGTACAAGTCAAGTGTTTGACTTTTCAATAAATGCTCAATACCATCAGTATTCCTGCTGTATAGCTGTATAAGCTAGAAGTTATTTTGGTTCCAATATATTTGGATTTTGGAAATACAATGCATATACTGTATTTTATTTAATGTCCTATTGGCAAATGCATTCATGTGTCTGCTATGAAATATGTTTGCCTTTACATGAAATTAAAAAGAAATAGCCAAATGCCAGCATGTTCTCCAAATGAATTATGAAAATCTTTTTGCTTTTCAGAATTGTGGTTAAGGGCCTTGTAGACTTGTATAAAACTGTTAGTGTAATGCCTGGCAGTTGAAGCACCCAGTGTAAGTTGGTGGGTATCACCACTAACAGTGCTATTATTGGTGATCATTTTCAGGTACTTATATACTCATACATTTAGAAAGTTAGTGAATCATATAAAATTAGGGCTACTTTTTCACATCATGATCTGAGGAGGGGAAGGTATCTATGTTTTACTGTCTTTTTCATCTTTCTTCCCTACATCAGGATAATGGAGGACCCTATGTAATATCCTTCTGTGTCCTTTCTCCATTCCAAATGTAGGCTTATCGAGTTTAACGGTCCTGTCCTTGTGTCCATGTATAGTCCCAGTTATACAGTGTATAGAGTTGTTCATCTTGTGTTTTCACCCTTTTACAGCTCTTAGTAAGACAGTGTTGAAGATTGTCCTGTTCCCATTCGGCATGTACACTGGAAGAAAGATAACCTCTTTTGCAAATGGTGCTGGTAATACTTGCAATACACAGCAGAAGATCGAATCTGCATCTCTGTTTCTCACTGTGAACTAAAATAAAACCAAATGGATCAAAGATCTAAATATTAAAACAAAACAATCCGCTGGAAGATAAAATAACTAAAACTTGAAGACATAGGCATAGGCAAGGGCTCTCTGAATCAACAAATGTAATTATATCAAATTAACTTATGCACAGGAAAGGTAACATCCAACAGAGTGAAGAGAAAACCTACAGAATAGGAAAAAACCTTTGCCACTCACTTCTTGGGCATAGGACTATTATCTAAACTATATAAAGAACTGAAAAAATTAAACCTCCCCAAAATAAAAGATCCAGTAAACGAATGGGCAGCTGAAATTAATAGATCCCTCTCAGAAGTAGAAGGCAGTTGGGCAATAATAAGTACATGAAAAAATGTTCAGCATTTCTGGCCATTAGAGAAATGCAAATTAAAACAACATTGAGGTCCATTTTACCTCAGAGAGACTATGTATCATCCAGAAATCAAATAAGAGTTGCTGGCAAAACTGTAGAGAAAAATGAACCTTCCTACATTGTTGGTGGGAATGCAAATGAGTATAACCATTATGGAAATTGGTGTGGAGATTCCTCAAAGAACAAAAATAGAAATTCCATTCAACCCAGCTATCCCCTTTCTGGGTCTCTTCCTAAAAGAATTAAAGACATCATATTACATTCCCTTTTCTATAGCAGCACAGCTCACAATAACTAAATCTTGCAAGTAGCGTATAGCCATCAACAGATGAATGGACAAAGAAAATGTGGTATTTATGTAGAAAGAAATACTCTTCTATTATAAGTTAGGATAAATTTTGAGTCATTTGTAGGAAGGTAGATGTGACTTGAGACAATAATGTTACGTAAAATAAATCAAACATACAAGCTTAAATATCACATTGTTTCTCTTATATGAGAAACCCAAACTGTAAATAATTTAAAGATCAAAACAAAAGATAGATAATAGGAAACAAATCTTTTGCAAATGTGAAGGGGACTGAGAAATGGAGGGAGGAAAAGGAAAAGGAAAAAGAATTGAGATGTGTTATTTACGTGTACCAACTCTTAATAATGAATATGACCATTTTATACTGCAAACATATATTAAATACATTTTTTAAAAAAATGAGCAAAATTCTGAGAAGAGTATGGAGTGAATCAAGTAGGTACCACCTGTCAGGAGAACAAACTGACAGTATGAATAAAGAGATTTAAAAGTATCTTTTCTCTTTTATAAATTTTAAATGGTTAATTGATTAGTTATAATTATATTCATTTATGGGATACAATGTGATATTATGGCATATGTATACAATGTGGGATGATTAATTCAAGCTAATTAGCATACACTAAAAAAAGATTTTCCCTGCTTGTTTTATAGTCCTCTTTTCTTAAACATCATTTCTGCAAATATGACCAATAAGACTAAAGTCTGTGCATTGATTAAGTTTGAAGTACTGTACTTTTTACCCACCATAAACTGTAATCAAAGTCATTATAACTAAGTATTTGACAATTAGCAAGAAATGTTCAGTACCATACACTGAATTTAATATATATGGGCATAGTACTTTTATTGCAGCCTGATAAATTTATTAAACACACTTGATATGCTGATTTGCTATTGAGATTCATTTTTTAAAAAGATGTTTGCACTTGAATTTAAACATATTCTGTATCATTGGAAATACTGAATTGTTTAAAGATCTGTATATACTTTGTTTTGTCCTTATGCTTACTAGTGTGGGATGTTAGCTTCCAATTGTTGTGTCAGAATACTAGAGAAAATGAAATTAGAAAGGAGGTATTTTAGCTCACAGTTTTGGAGGCTTTAGTCTATGAGCAATTAGCCCTATTGCTTTTAGGACTGTTGGTGAGCAATTAAGATCAACTATTTTGATCATATGGTGGGGGTGCATGGTGGAGTAAGCCATTCACCTAGTGGCCAGGACATGAAAAGAGGAAAAAAAGAGACTGGAGTCTCACAAACCTTTTTAAAGGCACTCACCAACAATCAAAAGATCACCAAGGTATCCCCTTCTTAAAGGTTCTCTACCTCTCAAGAGCATCACATTGGGAACTAAGGCTTTACCATGCGTACCCTTGAGGGACATTTAAGATCCAAATTATAGTAAATAGTATGTCTTCTCCATCTCAGATGTCTTCTCCATCCCAGCTTCTTAATAACTGGAAATATTGTCACTATTGTCTTGCACTTCTGTTGTCTAGCCTCAATTCTATAGCAAATCCAACAAGCTGGAAAGCCCTTACCACTTATCTAGTTGAACTGAAACAGAGATACAAAAAGAAATGAAATCAGTTTGTTGAGAGAGAATGGGATTTTCTGTATTGTATTTGACACTTTCATGATCCATCACTGAAATGTGAAATGCAGAAATACCTGTTCCTTTTTTGGTATTGTTGTTGTAAGGGTTGTGTAAAGTCTGCAATTTGTAAAATAGTTGATCTTAATTGCTCTAATTGCTTAATTGTTGGGGGGTTGGGAGTCATGGGATAGTGTGTAGAAAAAGAATGAAAGTTAGGTCATTTTCAGTTTATTTCATATCAGTTGGTCCCCGCAGAACATATTTGTTTTGGCAGCTGGCGTTCCCTATAGCGTTATGTTGGAATTTGGCATGCATTATTTCCTAAGATCGACTTTCTGCATGTTGTACATTTTGGTCAATTTCTTAGTAATAGTAGATGTTGAGTTTAAATTCCAGAGCAGAAAACTTGGATATAATGTAAGCAGCTGATGGTGTTCACACCTGCAGTTACTGATTTGACATATGTTCACTAATGTAACTCCTTTTAACCTGGCATTATTTAATTTAGGACCTTAGAATTTGAGCTGCATTGAAATCATTGATAATTGGCATTTTTTTTTACAGAGAGAAAATGGAAAAATGGATGATTGAAAGAAGTATTTTGTTGTATTTTAAAAGTTATATTTCCTTTATCTTTTCTAGGTTGCTGTAGTAAAACTAAAAAATGCAGATAAAGTATTTGCCATGAAAATTTTGAATAAATGGGAAATGCTGAAAAGAGCTGAGGTAAGAGTCTTATATATTTTAAAAACATTGATGGGCATTTAGGTTGTTTCTGTAATTTTACTATAGGAAAATATTTTTTATAATTACATATATATTGGAGCGTTTTTGTGAGTTTAGCCATATTAGTTCCTAGAAGATATAATTAAACTGTTAATAAATTTGTTTCACCAAATCTGTATTTCAAAATGAGAGAAAATAGAACATTAAAAGTAGTCTTGCCACCCAAGATAGGTATCCAATGTAAAGTTTGAAAGGGGGAGCTATGAAGTACTCTCGGTCAGAGATACTGCTGTGGGCTGCCCTGAGGTACTCCAGTTTGTGTGTACTGCGGTTGAAATGATTTTAAAGATAATTTTTATATTAAGGAATTTTTATGTTGTGCTGACTCTAGTAGAGTACTTACCCATTTCTCAAATTTAATATCTTTGCTATTGAAACTTTCGGGCTAGAGCTGGGGAATATAGTACATTTAAACCCTGATAGCTATTGCTATGAATAAATTATCTTCAGAAAAGTTGGACCAGTAGATTTTGAGGTTCAAAATGTACCTGTTTACCCACACTCACAAATTACGAGTGTTATCAAATGATTTCTTTTTCTTTATATCAAAAATATTTTTTACTGACAAGCTAAAAACACTGATATTTCTCATGTTTGGTTTGGCCACCAAATATGTAAAATGGAGACTTAAAAGGAAAGTGATGATATGCCGTATGCAGGCCTAATTTTTGGAATTTTTGAATTTTTCAACTTAAAATACCATTTGTTTATTTTTTAACCATGAAAATTTTGGCTTTGCTGTCATCAGATATTATATCAGAGAGAAATACTCAGTTATTATTTGAAAATATTTTTCTGTGATAATACTTTACTGAAGGAGAGAGGGAGAGAGAAGACTTTATTCTTAGTAAATAAGAAGCCAGAGTGGATGTAATCATCTGCAGATTTTCTCATTGTGACACATGATTTCCAAGTATGTATGCAGTTTTGTTGTGCTACATGAGATCATTAATTTGATGAAGGCATTTTCTGAGTGTTCTGAAGAATATCATGTGGCATTGTTGCAGAATTACTATCATTTTTGTATATGGTCCTTATTAATTCATGTTTTAATGTAAATATTCCTTCTGTTCTTTATCCTACTAGTCTATTAAAGATGACATTTAAATAATGTATTATCAAATATAAAAAAGTATAATGTGTATAGCAGCCACATCACGATGGTAAGCAGAGTGTTTGGCTAAACATTTGAGAAAGTGAGTGAGTGAATCTGAAGATGCTGTATAATTTCCAATATCCTCTCAAATGTTTGTTGCATTCTTAGACTCAAATGTCCTGCTTTTCAAGGAGAGAAGTTTCAAGACATCTTTTTAAAAAAATGTAATTGAAGTAGACATTATTATATCCTTTAGCCATTTGAATCTCCCTAAACACCTTATGAACCCCAGGGTGTACATGTATCATGGTTTGGTTAATATTGATCTAGAACAGGGCTTCTTGGTAGGCACTGCTGACCTTTGCGGCTGGATATTTTTTTGTTGTGGATGCTGTCTATGCATTCCAGGTTTAGTAGCATCCCTGGCCTCTACTCATTAGATGCCAGTATTTCCCCTCTGTAGTTGTTATAACCAGCTGAAGACAGTGTGACAATGATGCAAAAAAGTAGACTGTTTATAGACATTTTGTGCTTTACATCTAGACTTAGTGTCTGCATACTAATAAGAATAGCTTAATAGCTAAGTATTTATGAGTGAAATCATATGATTGTAGGAATTGCTTTAAATAGTATGTGTATGTGCGCTTGTGGAGCTGGTGGTTAAGTGGTTGAAGTTCTAATGAAACAAGGTTGACCAATAAAATAATTGAAATTGCATGATAGTACTTTGGGAGGAAGAGGTTGTTGTATTAGTCTCTCTACTTTGTATATGTTTGAAATTTTATATTATACTTCATTAGTGAATAAAAACTAGGAGGTATGATAGATATTGTGAAACGAAAGGAAAATGCTCAAAAGTAAAGGACAACTGGGGTGTGGGAAAAGAGAAGGGAAAGAAGGGGAAATTATGTAATTATGAATATACAGGATAGCTAACATAGTTGTACCACTGTCTTCTATTGCTTTACTGAAAGGAACAGTTAATGATTATTTGTTTGATCAATATTGCATGTCTCTATTTGTTTTCCTGAGAAACCACTTTGTAGATATCAATATGTAAAGAACAACCATTGTTAATTTCCTACCACTTTGTCTGTAACTCTGTACTGTTTGTGTTGTTCTTATGCTGTTTTGTAAATGGATGTCTGTTTGTTAAGTTTTCCTTCTTTTATTTTTAAAATAAATTGAAAAAATAATATAAAATTAATTTATATTTCATTTAAAAACTTCTAGCACAGATTAGAACTCATTCTTTTGACTAAAGTCTTTGGAGTTTCAGTTAGTTTGAAGTCATCAATCGGATGGAATGATGAGTCTAGCTTGGATTTCTAACAATTTCAGGTAGTTGTAATAGTAAGATAAAGCCTGGAGACAGGAGTCTCCTAGGCTTTGAGAGCCATGATAGCATCTCTAAAGTGTTAGCAGTTAACTGTAACTTCATTTCAGTTCAGTTATAAAATTGGACTTGATGGTAAGTAGGTCACATGATTTTGTTTTCTCCTTAAATGAACTGAAGCAGGTAAAACTGCCCATTTAAATTGGTTTAATTAAACTTTGTTTTAATGTTTTCTCTGATGTTGCCATTTAATGTCTGGTTTTGGGAATTCTTTGTGCTCAAATAAAGATTATAGATGTATGTGGGAATTGTTAAAGCTGATTGTATAACACTGTTGTTTTGTGTTTCATGACTATTTAATTTACCTTGTGAGAAGTAATAACAAAGCACCTGCGCTATATAGAATACTGTATGATAATATGGTATATCCATTAAGAAACATTAGGTAGGGTTCTATGTTCTAAGATGGAAAAATGTTCCAATATATTGTTACTTGGGCAAACAGAGAAACTCCTTATAGAGCACTATGATCTCATTTGTGTAAAGAAAAAAAAAAGAAAGAAGTGGGACACCATGTGATATATAGTGTACGTATGTTATGTATACTCTGAACTTTCTGAGAGTGTACTGAACATGTGTTGAAATTGATAACTTTTGAACACAACAGTTGGACAATAAAATTGTGGGCTTAGGAAGGCCTTTACTTTCTGTATTTCCTTTCAGTTCCTAAGTTTTTGGTATAGAGTTTGCATTTTTAATTAAAAATTAAAGATTATCTATTATAGAATTATATAAAAATTTTTTTATTGTTTCTATGATTCTCCCGGCTGTACTTTTATAATGGTGGAGCTAAATTAAAACTTTAACAAATCAGTAAAAAAAACCAATTTATTAGAGAAAATGGGCGAAGGAAGTGAATTGAACGTCCATACAGAAAATTCATGTATCCAATAAGTACATATGAATCTTTTCATGTGCAAGTGTAATTGTGAATATATTAATTGAAAGAACAATAAGATATAGTTTCATATCCGTCATATTGGCGGCTATTTAAAAGTCTAATAATGCCAAATGTGGTTAAAAATGGGACAAGAGGGGCTTTGTATACTGTGGTGAGGTGGCAGTTAGTTACGAAGAGAAAATTGCTATCATTGGTAAAGTTGAAATTTGCTTATATCTGGAATTTCTGCTTTTACATATGTACTGTAAAGGAGCTCTTGTACACATGTACAGGTATTTTCATTATAATAATACAAACTGGAAATAACTTACATTTCCATGATTGGGGTTACATTGGTAAGTTCTAGTACACTCAAACAATGGAATACCATAACAATTAAATGAGAAACAGTCATTATTGAGTAAAAACGTAGTCAAGTATCTAAAGGATAGGTAAAATTACAACATTATTATAAATTTTCAAAGTACAATTAATTTCTCTTATTTTGGACATATATATGTATGTGTGGTCCAAGTATACTGATACACTGTAATGTCTTCAAATTATTTATTATGCAGGGAACGAAAGGAAGAGATTGGGTAGTAGGAAGACTTACAGTTTTAAAAATAAAAAGATCAGAAGGAATTATGCAAAATGTGAATATTTGTATTATCTTTGTGGTGGTTTGGTATATGTTTGTTGGTTAAATTATTCTTTGCATTCTTATTATTTTGAACCATATAACAGTATTTTTCTCTTATAAAACATTTTGTTAAGTGTACTATTCCAGGAGTTAGGTTTCTGATTTGAAACTTGAGTTGTTGAAAAGTCATAATATTGAATGTATTCCTTTTCCAGAGTAGTAATGTAGCAACTATTTGCATATTTCCTACTTTCATGTGAAGTGTTTTCGAAAAGTTTTCCTTTTCTTTTCAGACAGCATGTTTTCGTGAAGAAAGGGACGTGTTGGTGAACGGAGACAATAAGTGGATTACAACTTTGCACTATGCTTTCCAGGATGACAATAACTTAGTAAGAATCATCTTCACATGTTTTTCTATCCTAGTAATTTTTGGTGGCAGAATTTAGCATTATTTTTTAAACATTATTTAAATGCTTCTAAATAGGAAAAGCACTGCATTTTATAGAGTGTAAGTTAAATATGTGACGTGAACATTTTTTACTCTGATTCAGTTTCTATTGAAATATGAGTCAAAACTCAATCCAACCTGATTTAATTTCTATCATTTATATTTTACCAGAAGGTATTCAGAATTTTTCCTTTTCGTAATTTTCTCATTTTATTTTCTTCATAGTATTCTGTTCCTGTTTAGATTTTTACTTATTTTTCATGGAGATCATGTGCTACATTAAGTAGAGCCACATTTATATTGACATCAGGAACCATTTCACAAAAAACTGAGTGAGATCTTGAAGGAAAGTAAAAATACTAGAAACTCTACTAATTGAGAATAAATAAGGATGAGGAGAGAAACGAGCCAGTTGAGATAGTTAGTGCACACTTACTACTCCCAGGTACTCAGGAGGCTGAAACAAGAGGGACACAGTTTTAAGACCAACTTATATCTCTGTTCCAAGATATAAAGGGCTGGGGTTGTAACTCAGTGGTAGAGCATCTGCTTACCATGAGCAAGGCCCTAGGTTAAATCCTCAGTATCACCCTGAGAGGGAGAGGGAGAGTATATTTAGCATATATATGTTGATAAAACCTGGGATATAAAATTTACTGGGACACATTTTCACAAATATTTGTTAGAATGTGTGCTGTGTGTTAAGTACTGTTCTCTTGATTCTGGAGACATAGCAGTAAGACAGACAAAGAACCTTTCAGTGCTCTTACATTCCCATGAGAGGAACCAGATAGTAAGTCTAAAGGCAAGTAAATAATGTTTTCATATTTCAGACAATTGTAATATTACATTTATTTAGAGGCATGAAATAAATGAAGATTCTTCTAAAATAAATATAAATTAGCTAAATTGAGAAAGGAAAAGAGGCAGAGAGGACTTAGCAATGAAAAGCATAGAGATTGGAAACAACTTATTCTATTCAGAATGGAACATGGATGAAGAGGTTGGAGGGATGAGAGGGTCATGTCATATTGTCACTTATATGTTTTGCTAAGTAAATAAGGCTTTCAAAACCATGTTTTTAATTTATATATTTTTTTCTTTTTGGTCCCAGGACTCTAGTGTATGTGGTTTTTAATGACATATCTAAATGTCTAGACAGTAAAGGATAATAGTAATGGAACTGCCCTTACTGATCTCTTCTGCGTTCTTCTGCCCTCCTTCAGGGTTACTCAGGGGTCCTCATGGAACAAATCTGAGAACTGTTCTAGTGTTACTGTAGAAGGATTTGTGGAAGGAAAGGAATTGGGTTGTCTTGAGGCATGAGAGGAAGGCTAGTATGGTTAGAGTATAGCAAATAGGGCAAGAGACTTATACAGTAAAAGTAAATCATTACAGTTATAGAGTATGTCATACTGAGGGGTCAGATTTATTCTAATTTCAAGGAAGAGCGATAGTTTTTCATTTTACACAGAACATGCAGGCAGCAGTTTTGTGTATATATTTCAGGCAAAAACATAGAAGCAAAGAAGACTTTTACAATATTCACTTGCTACATGATAAGGATTTGAATAAAGGTGATAATATCCAAGTCGAGATGAAAAAGAGGGTATGGTTTAGAAATAAATAATTAGAACTTTAAAATTTTAATGTAATACAAGTAGATATTAATAAAGAAGATATAAAAATACTCTTCTGTGGAAAAAAAAACAGAATTGCATAGCAAAATAGAGAATATCAGTGGTTAACATACTTTGTATCATGATCTTAAAAGAATGGCCAAAATGTTACTCACTTGTTTTGTTTATATTTCTAGTTTCTTTTGTTCATTGAAAAGAAAGTTTTGTCCTTTGTTTGCTGCTTCTTTGTAAGAGAGGGTCTTTTTTTTCTATGAGGTGCACTCTGAGTAACATTTTGGCAGTTTGAACATTTGAGTTAAGGTCAGTGGGTGAGAGAGGCTTCCGTTATTCCATTTTGTACATGGTCTCCCTTGTGGGATTTATCCGTTAGTTGGTGATGAATTGAAGAATGTAGAAAGAAGAGAAAATTTAGGGTGTATGGGAACATGATTACTTAACTTGGAATATGTTAAGTTTGGATTGTCATGTGATCCACTCACTGGGTTGGATATATAATTTTGGTGCTTTTAAAGGGTAAATAGCACTACAGAGTTCTTAGCTCTGATCTGTTCCACCTCCTGTTTGTGTACAGTTTGCAAGCTACGAATAGTCTTTACATTTTTAAATAGTTTAAAATCAAAAGAATATTTCATGATACATGAATATTAAATTTTAAACTTCAGTCTGCTTAAAGTTGTATTGGAACATAGCTACACTTACTGATTTATATATATTTCCTGTAAACTACAGTGACACAGTTTTGCCTAGTAGCATTTTGATCACTGTACATATTGTTCTACAGTGCCATTTTATTATTTTTATTGAGTGGATACTCATTAACATAAGTAAAAAAGAGTAATCTTCAGATATGCTTAGTGCATAGGAGAGTAGATTTTTTTAAATTAAGTGGCAAAGCACTGTGTTTCTTATGCAACCAGACCGCAGCTATACTGCTAGAATACAGTATTGTACAGTTTACATGGCCTGAATAGACACTCATCACCACATGCTCAATTCATGGAAAAGAAGTGATCAGGAAAATTAGAAAATTGAAAACAGAATTTCTTATCACAGCATAATTTCTTTTCAAAAGCAAAAAAATGTGAATGAATCTGCCATATTCCTGAATAGCTGATATGCTAGCTGGGCAAGGAAAGCCATTTATCAATGTTAACTAAATCATGCTTGATTGCAACAGTGGAAAATGTATTCTGGGAAAATAAACGTGTCTAAGACTCAGCCATTTGTCAAGAACAGTTGCTCAAAGAATGAGGACTTCGGGAGTGACATTGTTTCAATTTTAAAAGTAGGAGTAATTAGGAAGTTTATATTTTTTCTTACATAAGTACCTACATAGTATCCTTGATTTTACCTCTTGACCTATCAGGCCTATGTAGTATTTACTATCTGGGTTTTTATAGTAAAAGTTGGCCAGCTTCTATTGCAGGTAATAGTGAATATAAAGTGTGAACATATGTAACTGAATAGTGCAATACTGCATCATGGAAACTAAATAAAAGAGAAAGGGATGGAAGGCGCTTCCTAGCATGCCTAATTGCCAACAACACACACACAAACACACGCATACACACACATACATCCATAGGTAGAGGACATGGTCAGTAGTGTTAAATATAGTATTGGGTTAATTTAAAAAAAGACTGAAGATATTTTGCTTTCCCACAAATCTTACACTTAAGCCTCAGTGGAATATCCTCCATTCTTTGAACATTCTCCCTACTCCTCTGTAGTTTACATTTAATAACTGGGCCATTCCTCTTCCCTTACTTCTATTGAAGTGCAGCTAATATTGTAAAATTTTGCTCAAATTTTCTATCATTAAAAATAATCTTTTTCAGCATTTCCAGTTGGAATTAAACTGTCGCATCTCATTTTAGCTTGTCCTCCTCCTCTTTTTGGGGGGGAGATTGATGATATTGGGGCTTGAACATAAGGCCTTTGTGATGAGCTTTAAAAATATTGTTTTGTTTTGTCTTGAGATAGGGTCTGGCTAAACCACTAAATTACCCATGTGAGGTTTGAACTTGCCACCCACAGTGCTGGGATTACAGGCACGAGCCGTTGTGCCTGGCTTTACAAAGTAACTGTACTGCTGTTGCACTACTAAAATATAAACAATATCTCTAATTCTGTGGTAATACTATAGAAAGAATTAAATAAATGATGAGTCTTACTATCTTTAGCTAAAATAAAATTCAAGGTTTATATAAGTCTGTAATAGTCATGGGAAAGGAGCTGGAGTGGTTAGTGGTAGAACACAGCAGTATGAATGAGACCCTGGGTTCCATTCCCAGCACTGCCAAAAAGCTCCACATTAACACACACACATGCACACACATGCACACGCACACATATAAATAGCTGTGAGGTTTATCTGATTATAGGCCAGATCCAGGTAATTGAACAATATTTTTACAATCCTTTTTCTTTATATCCCATACATGCTTATAGAGTATTATAATGTTTTACACATTGCAGGTTGTGACCCATTAGTGGGTTATAAAACCAAGTCAGTGGGTTACAAGCAGCATTTAAGATATTAAATAGGTAAGAAAATGATGGTGTTCATAGCAATTAGTAAGAGTAAATATTGTTTTATAACATGTATAGTATACTGAATGATCATATAAATTATATTTATTATTGTGAATTGTATTTGAATTGTTTAAAAGCAGCAGCGCTTTGTATGTATTAGTTGCTCAGTTATTAGACTGGAAGACTTAGCCACAACCACAAACACACTCAGCCACCTAATCTTTGATAAAGGGGCCAAACAAACTCACTGGAAGAACAATAGCCTCTTTAATAAATGGTGCTGGAAAAATTGGCTTGCCATCTGCCAAGGACTGAAAATAGACCCAAGTCTATCACCATGCACCCAACTAAAGTCAAAATTGATCACAGACCTCAATATTAAAACAGAAACACTAAATCTATTGGAAGAAAAAGTAGGTAAAAATCTTAAAGACATAGGAGTAGGCAGAGAGTTCATGAACAAAAACAAAACCACACGTGAAATACTTCAAAGAATCAACAACTGAGGTCTCATCCTACTGAAAAGTTTCTGCACATCTAAGGAAATCACCAGCAGAGTAAAAAGAAAACCCACAAATTGGGAAAAAATTTTGGCTGACTGTCCCTCGGACAGAGGCCTTTTATCTAGAACATATAAAGAATTAAAAAACATCAACACCCCCAAATTCAAAGACCCAACCCAAAAATGGGCAACTGAGATGAATACACACTTCTCGGATAAGGAAATACAAATGGCAAATAAATACATGAGAAAATGTTCAACATC